CCTGTGATGATATTAAAAATAACCAAGAGATATTTGAGAGCAAGTAATTTAGATACTAAAACATCTCTGGATACTTTTACCACAAATCAAGTTGTTTTGATATTTGACCGTAATGCATTCAGCTTATTTGAGCAATAATTTCAAAATGTTTTGCTTCCTCCTAGTTATCTATCGTTGGTGTCTGAGGTGAGCTTAACACACCCAATTATTGTACCGGATTCAGAGTTTACTAGGATGCATTGAGTTTAGTCTACAATGAAAAAACACTACTAATTCAAACACTACGGAATGGATTTCCTGGAGTTATAGCAAGAAATCATGAAATGTGTGGTATCCAAAATGTCGGCTATGAGCACAGACCACTGACCGATGGTGGATTGTTGGTTGTTAGTGGTGCTAATTCGCACGAACTTAAAGAAGTAAGAAATCACAGGTCATTGAATTCTAACCCGGTGGCCAAATTGTCAACGGGCTCGCCTCGTAATCAAAAATTCTTGCATTTGATCCTTTCCTTGGCAATGAGGTGGTGGGTGAGTACAATTGAAAAGACCCAAATTACGTCGAAACAGCTATCCAGTACCCTTTGTTTTTTCAAATGTTCCTGTAACTGATGGCGGTTAAGGGGAAGTCTACATTGAGATTAACCATATCCCGATAATCCAACAATTGAATGCCTACGTACTTTTCCAGCTTATCTTCTCATAAACAATTACTAAGTACAACTTCCGATGTGAAACATAAAAGCATAAGAAATGCTGGTTAATACGTTAACTATAGAGCGGTTGGAGTGGACTCTAAAGCCAGAGACCATATCAGAATTGAAACTTCTTCAAAGCGAGTTACATGACATTGCACTTGATAGCTGTTCTACTATTACTACTGTTCCCACTACAAAGTAGAAATCAAATCCAGTTGTCGAAAGAACGTTCCGAAATCTAACTAAGCAGAAAATGATCCCATGCAACAAAACTATAACCACCCTTGGTCAGCTGTCAAGATTTATTACAAACGATATCAGTAATATCAGAATACAATTCCCAATTTGAAAGGCACTTTTTTATCTTACCAAAGCGCCATTATCATCATAATCCTTGTAACAGATGATGAGCCTAACTAAATAAAATAAAACAAACAAATGCGCCATATAATCAAACTTAATTCACATTTCAATTATGTCAAGGTCACACTGTGCCTCACTCAATCTCAGCTTCAATTAGATTTTACGTCAGTCAGTTTTCGCTATGCACACGTTGATTTTACTCAAATCCTTTTCAAACCTACGCTTCAATAATATAAAAAGCGCATTTTCACAATTTATTATTCATACAACTGACAGTCTAGCTAACTGACTAACTAAGGGATAAAGTGGATATGCGCATAGGCAATAAATCTAACTAACAAACAAGCACATACACACATACAAAACTTCATTTTATCTCCTAATCTTAGTTTTCTAAACAGTTTAACCATATACAATAGGTATTATAAAATACAATATAAAAAAGTGGCAGATAAGGTAGAACTGCATTAATCCATTACAGTGATACAGTCAGTGTATGTCTACATACACAAGTTTCAAGAGCGTATTCGCTTTTCACAGCTTTTAAATGAATCCCACTAATTGTGACAAAGAAAATAATCACACGATTAGTAATAATAAGCATTTTAAACATTTTAGCATAATTTTAATAACTATTATAACGCGCTTGACACAACCACTTTTGTGAATAAAAAAGGAATATATATCCTCAATGTGTGGGAGAATCCCATGTGAGATGAATTTAGAACATGTAAGTCGGCAAAGAAATCTATTTATCTCACATATTGTAAGCCTGGCTGACAGAATTTAGTCTGCAACACCAACAACACCAGGGATCAGACCATGATATTAGTTATTCATCCGAGTGGCAAATGAGTGCATTCCATTGCAGACATAAAGGAGATCAATAGTCAGTTAGTCCGAATAACTCATTGGTACCGTTTCTGACTGCAGCGTTGGTTGACGCGTGATCGAACCCCAGAAGGGATATGAGATAGTTTAATGTTACAGAGGTGCACTGTTGGTGAGCGACAACAAGCACGAAACTTATGTTCAAGACTTCCTACCGACCGCCTCAAACCACTTGAGATCTCTTTCCCTAATTTCACTTCAAAACTGTACAATTATTTAAGGGTGTATATAAAATATGTTAGTTGACAACAAAGATACTTTCAATGAGTACCAAAAGTAAATCAAAGTGTGGAAAATAGTGAATAACTTTACGTAATCGAAAGAGAGTCAACAACTAATTACTTAAGTGAAGGATAATCATTTGGAAATAATTTGACAGGAAGCAGGAGGACAAGATATTGAAAATAGGTTACAAAAATAAAAGGACTATGTGGAGCTTATTATGCAACCATTTAGAAAAATAAAATTGACACTAAGGCCATGGTGCTAAAAGAAGCTGGGTAAAACGCTTCTCAACACAAACTCTAGGTATGTATAAACGCCTAAGCCATCTGTACAGCTTTGAAGTAAAGTTATGAAAAGAGATCTATTTGTTGACTTATGTGTTTTTAATGAAATATTTCTTTCTTTTTGAAATGATGACTTTGTGTCCTTTCTGTAGAGTAACCCCCTTAAGAAGCTTGATTAATCCGTCAAGCCTTGGACTGTTGCTTTGAACAAAGCAGAAAGATGTAGAATACCTAATGTGGCTCATAGAACACAACTAATTGTGTCAATGAAATGTTAACAACCAATGGCTTGAAACTATTGGTGACATGGTTGAGAACTATTTTCCGTGGAACAAATACATTGACTTCTTCTCTATCCACCATGTAGTTAGACTTTCTGTAGTGAATTTCCGTCCATTACTGTTTCTTTGCAATTGTTTCCCCTAAACCTCTATGTGAGGTTTTGTGAAGTGTGGCAATTTGAAGTGTTGCAGTTTTGTGCAAAGTTCTACGCTGAAGATTCAGTTTAGTTCTAGAAATTTGGATTTTGTCGTCATATTCTGCTGTACCAGTTACATATTGTGACATTATCATACAATAGTGACATGGAATAATGATCCTTAAGTGATATTAAACTCCAAATGAATATGTAATAATCATAATAGGAGCAAATAAAATTAACGGGAAACACCTTACGTACTGTTGACCAGAAGAGGATTAAAAAGTTCATATTAGGCAATAAAATAATCCAGAAACAAATGTGAAAACGTTCAACTCAGTAAACTAAGAATAATAGACAACTACGCAAGAGAATTAACAAAATAGGAATAATATATTATTATTATTATTATTATGAATAATTTTAAGTGACAGACATTCAGGTCACTGTAAGTTTTCATCAACACAAATAAAGCGATTTAGATTAACTGTCCAGGTTGACACAGAACAAAGAGCGTGAAAATACACTATGCATATATATTACAAAATAAGATCCACTTATAAAAATGATGAGAAATCTGTCGAATATTTCGATATCATTTTCTTCTCTCAAAAGTAGTCAGAATATCCCATCAATTCTTAGTGAACACAGTGAGATTAATCAAGTAGTAAAAATAACTCAGTCTCTCAATAATAGCAGATGTTCCACTTAGAGCTATCTGCGATATGGCAATCTCTCCCTACCAACTTACCTACTACATTTTTCGCTACCTGCAGACAGCCTTTTGTCTCGTGTTTGGATAGAGTTCTCCTGGCCGCATAAATGATGTATTTTATTTGGTGGTGGTAGATGCCTTTATGAACCGGCCATAGATGAAAGCAGTTATATCTGCAGCAGCACTGTAGATTCTAAAGCTTTTATCTCTCAAATTGTCTAGCCGAAGCAATGGTAACAGATAATGACTCGCAGTTCACTTCTTAAGAGTTTTACGACTACTGCCGTCAATATGCCGTCAAACATATTTTCTCACCTCTATATCATCAACAATTTGTCAACTCTTTGAAGACAGAGTTACTTAAGTCAAGGAGAGATGGGACATCATTTGACGACATTTACCATTTTTCCTTGTATATTGCGTAACTTAAAATCACCCAATATCTACAACAACAAAAATCCTCAGCAGAAATGCTTTATAGACATGAGCTAAGGAGTATTCATACTGCCCAGAGAAGCTATGCATTTCGATCCGCTACCTAGAAATAAATGTGTATTCGAGACAGGTAACACAGTTTACACCAATGATTATTAAACGGAGCACAAAGGCTGATATGGAGGCTTAGTAGACGAAAGACGAGGATAAGTTGGCAGTGATGTAGCTACATATCATTGCACTCAGTCGGTGTTAATAAACCAAGACTAACTCTCTGTTACTGATAGCCATGTTTCGGCTACACCCTAAAAACAAGGCAGTAAAACACCTAGAAGACAGATGATAGTGGATAATATCAGCGATCCCTCCCAAAAATGAAGCAAAGCTTCATATGAGATGATGATGTGACTGATGCAGACGTTACGGTTCCAGATTAAATACAAAGCTAAAATTTCTGTCAGTGTAACTTTTCATTCATTTCAATTTAATTGATTTAACAACAAGATAATCATCGAAGGTTACCAAAAACAAGCATACAGGCTACAGTAGTTGCCTATTTACTCGACAGACAGTAAAATATCAGCAACAATGACCGATTTTCATTACAGAATTTAGCATAGAAGTACAATAGTTGCTACACTCCACGTAGAACACACAAAATATAGACAAAAAGATTGAAAATAATTACAATGGGCAGAAATGTGTGGGAGAAACAATACTTATATGGGAAACATAAGGACTTAATGGATATTGTAAAGAATGAATGCATCTACACCAGTGAGGACGATTTTGACTTATATCTCCAATAGTCTTCAACCATTGGTTCTTAGCATCTCGAAGACCCCAATCGGAAAGTCCACACCTCCCCACATAACTGACTCAAACCAACCGTCAGACTTTCTGGATTGATGTCAGATTTTGCGAAGTTAAGTAAAAATCAGTAAAGCATTTGGCAAAAATGACACTACCTACCTATTTCAACAGGGATTTCACTGATATCGTTCTCACCAGCCATGATAACTTTGAGTTTAGTAAGTCGCCTAAAAAATATTAAAGCGAAATAAACAAAAGATAAGCATACAGAAATAAGGGCAAGGACAATAATCAACAGATAGAAATACATCCCAGCATGAAACATCATAAAGAACGTATGAGAATGCAAATTATACATGAAACGTTCGTCAAAGTGTACATTTAATTTGTCTTAGCATATAAGTTAGCCGTTCTTTAAAGCGTTGATTTCCATTCAAAGATAACATACTCCTGACAAACACCATACGATACCATCCAGATATTATAAGGCTAATAAAATTTACCACGGAAGCTTGTTTGTCATCTTTTTTGGTTGATCATAGTTAACAATGGAACCACTACATGTACTTCATCTTATTTTAAACGTCAATCGGTGGGGTCATTCTGAAACAGGACAAAATGCTTGTCCTGGAATTAACTGTTGGCTATTATCAAACAAATAACACCACATTAACCTCCCTGTATCGTAGACCTATACGTAATAGGAACCAACAGAGCGGCCGAACATATAGGTCTAATGAAATCAACGAACAGGATCTTCAATATCACCATGTGTCTAAAGTGTCGACAACTTTTCTCGAATCATTTTATAAGGAGGGAATACAGTGATTTCAGAAAGATATAATGTAAAATTGCCACCCATGCATACTATTACTGACAAATATCGATTTGCGAGAACGCCATCAGCGAATATTTGTCCGGAAAGACCACCTGATACACCCAACCGGTCATGACATCTCCCTACAATTTCATCCAGTAGGAAATCAAAACTCACACCTGCATTCCATCACAATGGCTGCATGATCGATAAGTCCGCTTTGTAACCTCAAGGGTATGCGTTCCATCTCCGATGTGGTCATGGGTGCATACAGCTCAACGATTCCAAACAAGGAACAAACAGTTGTCCACCACTCCCGGACAATCATTTCAATCATTTCTCACCCGAAGTCACTTCATCATATAAACACGAAATCAACCAAATCACTCAGGAACAACACTTCAAAACTCACAGTTGTTTCATATCGATTATCAGAGACGGACTTTTCATGTTCAAAGCTATGATCAACACTTACTGCTTCACGGCTGATGATACTGTGGTCTGTGCTACTCACAAGATTTATAAGTAATATACAAATACAAACATAAATGTGTATATCATCTACAAGAATACCAAATAGCCAAGAGATGGATTCAGTGGCGAAGAGAAGAAATCCACGACGCCTGTCAAACAACATGGTAAATATGGGAGGAAGGAAAAGAAGTACAATTTGGAAGACATGAGCAAATTGTGATTCCAATAAATGGTAGACATATTTTCCCTATATGTGTATATCGAATTGTCAATAAATAATCCTGTCAACAAATTCTCTTGTGCAATCACGTTACACCTACTCGTGAGAAAAATTCTACACGTATGAAGCATTTCGTTTTATGAGGCAATCACTTTACACTGTAAACACCAAAAACAAACCGGACAGGTCAAATGCCGATTAGCTACAATACACTTGAAACAATTAATAAAATCAAAAGATAAGCGATTGATGACAGTTCTTGATTTCAATTGAAAAATATTCTAATACTTATTAGTGACTGACTACAGGATAGTATTCAAGTGGAAAGTCATGACCAGTGGGATTCACAAAGACGCGTGTGAGGATAAATACACATCGATGTTATTGATTGGTGGTGCTGATATATATGGCGAAACAGCAGGAGTTAGAATTCGTGCACCATCAGATTCTATCCAAGCGGTCGACGGGCAGGTCTCAAGTAACTCAAAAGCAACAGTTTCGATCCTCAGTAGGATCCTGGACACGTATCGCCGAAAGATTCCGAAACTAGGGCGAAACAACTGTCCGGTGCACCCCGGTTTTCAGTGGTCCTCAAAGTGATATCAATTCGTGATCTAACTTTGAACAATAAAAATAAGATATAAAGAAGAAAAGTCAAATAATTGAAACAATATACTTTGGCAATCTCGCTTACCCAATGCTCGCTGGAAATGTTTTCAACCGATTACACAGGACATTTAATTCTTGTAATGATGTTAAACCAGATAAATCATCTGGCAGGGATTCTAACAGATTCGATTCCAAATCCAAAATACGTAGTTTTGATAACTGTGTAATTTCATCTGGTAAACACTAATATGCAGAAATAAATAATGTCAGTAAAATTAATAATAATACAGTTGAAAACATTTCTTTCACATAGCACATTTAAAATAAGCAACAATTGTGAAAAAAAACACCATCAGTATTCAATGCATTCATAAATTTCGATTGAACTTGTCAGCTGAATAATTTACAAACATGATTATTTTATATTGGTGTATGCGTTTAACATAAATACAAACATGTGAACATGGGTAATATCAAATACATATCAATTGCAACAAGTATATATGATCGATAAGATGTAGGTGATAATTGCTTAACATAATTACAAATGATTTACATATTACCAATACATAACAATGGAGCTGACGTTGATTGTTGCTATATCTATGGGTTGTATGTATGCTAGTTAACCTTATTACTATTACTGTTATTCTTTTGGGTTCCAAGCGGAACATAGGGCTTCAACAGAACAACCTTATTTCATCGTTTTCCGTGTAATCCTCTATAGATGGAATCACGATCACCCATAAGCTTTCATTTCATTGGCTTACACCAACTCCCCCATTTTACCATCGAAGCTACGCCCAACTCGTCGTTTTCCCCAATTGAGTTCCGCTCGATAAAATACAGTGTGCGCTGTTACTGAACGGTCTCTCCAACGTGTATATTTGGTCCATGTCTCCATTTCTATATGTTTTTTGGGTGATCGGTTCATGGTTGGTTTGTTGCTAGAGTACTTTAACTTTAGAAAAATAATCATATGTTTGTACGTATTCATTCAATTCACGAATCCTATAGAATTCTTTAATTACTCATCCTATTTTCCTCTTTTACACCATTGTTACTTATTTCTAATAAGAACACTGTTGTTCGTCGCCATTTGGGATTTGAGAGGTTAACCAATTATTGACATAGTAGTGTATCAGTTGATAAAGTTAAAGTCTACTCACCTTTTATGTCTTTATCATTCAATAAGCAGTTTTAGTAACAAAATTTGTATTTTTTTTTTACTGTGATATAGTATTTTAGGGGTTATATATTGAATAAATAGAAACGTACATCATCGCAAACAGTCTAATACAATGTGGTAGTGTATAAAGCACAAAAATAACAATACTTATCTTCATAAAAATGTATCCACTGAAAACCATATATTATACAACATTATTAGAACTGAACATTTGGAATTGTTTACAGTTGGCAGTGTGAGACACGCCTATTATGTGAGTGCTAGTGATACTACTAGGCTGCCCAAACCTCGGCAGGTAGGGCGGGATTCGAACTCGTGAGCCAGTAGAGTTAATAGTCAAACGCCTAGACCAATGATGAACTACAGCTCATGCTACTAGAAGAAACTTCACTAGTACAAAATATCAGCAGAACGAAATAAATAAACTGCCACAACTCCATCAAAAAGCAAAAATAGCAACAGGATAACAAGATTACAAAAACATTCCAAGTATGTAGAGAGGAATGAAGATGAAATATTATCGTACGGTGTTTTGTTTCAGCACAGTTACACTAAACAAACTTTTCATAAATCACGATATGAGATACATTTATTCCTTGAAGACTAAAGTAGGCGGAGCGGGAATCGAACCCCAAACCTACTGGTTAAAAATCAAGTACTCAAGTCAACCAGCTACATTTGCACATTATTGTATGGTCAGTACTGTAATCTACTCGTTCTCATTTTCCCAAGATTTTTTTTTTATTATAATAAGCCACCAATTAACATGTGTATAAACTGAATATACTCGCGAGCTTTGGTCAAATCAAAATGAAACATTTTAGTCAACAGTCCACACTTAAGTAGGCTTGACAACTAGTGTTCACGGTATTTCATCCAAAAAAGTTAATCCTCAAGAGTTAGTTTGCAGGGATTTGATTTGTTTCATGGTTGACCAAAGATTGACATCAGTTAGAGAACCACTGAAAACCAACGAACACTGGACAGTTGTTTTGTCCTAGTGTGGGACTTACCGCCAATTCGCACCTACTGGGGTTCGAACCGAGTCTTTTGGTTACAACGACAGCTAGTAGACCAACCAGCTACTGGGAACTGACTCCATGGACCATAAATTCTAACTCCCATCAATTCGTTCTTTTTAGCGCTGATTCCCAACTGGGTGGACGCCACTGATCACTAGGATGAAACAGATGTCCACTACTCCACTACTACTTTAATGGTTCTCCAATCTATAGCAATCCATGTTCAAACTTGAAATGTTAATCCTAACAACACATACAATGTATATTTTACCACTGTAAACAATTCAAACTAATTTCTCCAGATGTTTTTTTTTCACTTTTCGAGCACCCTTCAACTTTTTTGATCTATAGGTAGGTTATTATTAGTTTTCATTCTATTTGCAATATGGAAATCTCCATTTTGAATCCGTTGTGACCTAGATAATACTGGATTCGGTTTAGTGTTCTAATGATAATTCAGTGTTCAACAATATATTATTACCACTGATCAATTGACAAATATTTCCACATTGAGAGGACAATACAGAAGAAAGCAATGATTAATTACTTCAGGGAAAAGATTGTAATAGTTTTCACAGTTTCTAATGTGCAAGCAATGAATAAATGGAGATTTATTGAGGTACCTTTAAATAAACGTTCATTTGGGCTTTAGCTCAACAGTGATGCAAACAGATTTAACCGACTATTAGAACGAATGAATCTAAAAGTGATTTTATATCAGTCACGTTAACTGATATTATGGTAGGCTTCTTCATGATATTGTGGAATGCATACTGTAATTCTAAGAGAATTCTATCGAAAGAAGAATTGGTAAATAGCCATTGACTAACTAATAAACGCCGCAATCATTTTGTCCATGTGCTTATTGAAGCAGTTGATTTCATGATATGTCATTAGCTTGCGCATTATATTCACTAGCTTTTAAATGCATTCTTTTTATTCAATTGTAGGGGTGGATTTATCTACACTCAAATGGTGTAGGCAGTATTTTTTAAAATGTTTTATCTTTATCAGAATGCATAAAAATTCACTGAGTGATCATAAATATGGATACTTTCTATTTTCCTATCATTTTTGTAACGAATCAATATGTATTGTTCTTTTCTCACACTTGTCTACAGATAGAGAGAAACACTAATTCAATTTCTTTGCACTCAAATTCGTTGAGATATATTCTATAATGGTATAGTCTAAAGATGTAATTTATCGTAAGGGTGGTAGCAACAGAAATAACCCTTTACCGGATAAGCTGCATTCATTACTGAATGCGCAAGGAAATGATAATGGTCTCTGAGTAATATTCGTCCGTTTACCTAAGTAATACAAGCACATATCTGATAGAAGAAGTGATTAAACTAAGTTAAATTAATTACACTAGAGTGAAGGTAATTATAGCCCATTGGTTTTGAGTATTTCTATATAAAGATACCACAATATGAAACAAAAACAACAAATACAAATCTCAACAAAACAAAAACGCGGATGTAATTGGTGTGAAAAGTGTAATTGGTTTTTTTCCACTCCTTTGTATTTCGAGTGGAACATAGGGCTTCTAGCTAGAGCTTTGAAATTTCAGTAGTGGTGGTGTTGTTAGTTTTACGCCCAACCTTCACACTTTCCCAGACTTGCTACCGGCTAGGCAAAGATTAGGTGTCTGTCGGTCAGGATTCGGATCCCGGACCACATGCGTGGCTGGCGATCGTCCTATCGCTTAACCACAGACGTGTGCACACATTTAGGACATTCCGATCACACACATACTTGTCATAGATATTTATATAAGAGGTAATACAGTATAAAGGATCGCAACTGAATCAATGTAGGTCAAAATGCTTACGGGTCACGATCTCATATAAGAGGTAAGGAAATGATATAAGAATAAAAGGAGGTGGAAATATTATTAATTAAAGCGGTCCTTGATTCTAAAATTGGACTATCAATGAGAAATAATATTCGAATAAATAATACAGGTTTACGCCTTTTTGTAGCTACGGCTTCAACGAATATGAGTATACGATCCAAGCCTGTTTACGTATGGGTTTAAACATATTATTGAAATCAACCTTATGGGCTGTCTCTACGACGTGCTTTACGACCGATGACGTTGGACGTCTATTTCCGGGATTAATTGATTCAGCTGATGACTTTATCTGTTCTTGTAGCAATTTAGGAACGTGTTCTGTAGCTTTGACCTGCAGAGGTCAATGAGTCTTGTCTACGTAGGCGTAACCACACATATATGAATTAATAAACACAGTGGGATGTGACACTATCCTTCAGATGTTGTGAGAGTTTGCAGGATAACATAAATTTAATTTTCTCTATGAAGAGAGATTAGAAATAGATCGTAAAGTTGATTTCAATACTTCCTTTAAACCGATACATACAAAGGTTTGGATCGTATACTTAGGTTAGATTCATTGAAACCCTAGTCATGAAAAAAGTTTTAACTTGTTTTACATGTTCAAAAATTATTTGTTAGTACGTTGAACCTGCATTGGCAACCAAATTTTAAAACGACGGCTTACATTACGTAATAATATTTTCACCACCCTTTATTCTTACCTAATTTTGCTTTATGCTCTGTTGACTTTTATATAAACACATATATGACAAGTACGTATGTGTGTGTGATCAGAATATCCTAAATACGTTGCACAAAACAGATATTACAGACTTCAGATAAATTACGTCTTCTTATCGTCCTTGCGAAATACAATAAAGGGAATTAATTGCTTTGAAGGAAAAATTTGTTTCACAGACAAATAAATTATACAACAGCTTATATTCTGAGAAAACTTATAAAAAAAGGAAGGAGCTTACTTCTTAGTCTCTACTAGACAAAAAAAACCCAGTAATTAAAAGACTAAAATAACTAGTGCAAGGTTAAATCCAGTTGAGATATAAACTTTCCTTGATTTGACTGTGATAAACACAAAACTAATTCAAATATAAACTTTGCTATGACGAAATCATGACAGGAACTTTCACACACACCCACACACATTACAATAGCACACATAAATGCCAAA